GATATTAGGAGGAAGTTTTTCACACAGAGTGGTGAATCACTGGAACAGGTTGCCCAAGGAGGCTGTGGATGCCCCATCCCTGCAGGCATTCAAGGCCAGGCTGGATGTGGCTCTGGGCAGCCTGGTCTGGTGGTTGGTGACCCTGCACATAGCAGAGGGGTTGAAACTAGAGTAACATTGTGGTCCTTTTCAACCCAGCCCATTCTGTGGTGAAGGAATTATGCTATGGTAGTACTTTTCTTGCCTTCATTTTAAGTTAAATGTAGGAAGGAGTGCTGGCAGCTGTTTTAAAAGATTTTTAAGAACAAATTTGTTAAATGATAACATGAATTCCAGTGTCAGTAATACTAAATGTAATTTATATGCTTATATGTGTGTATATATATATATATATATGTATATATATTGTGTGTGTGAGGAAAGAGTTAAAATCAAAAAACTTAACTTCTCTGTTCTCCCCCTACCATTAGTTTGAGCCAGTAGACAGCTCCCCTGACTTGAGTCCTGGATCAGCATGTTGGCTACTCTGAGCAGTAATAGAGGAAAAAGTGGAAGAGAAATGTAAAAATGATCTATAAGGAGGAATGTGTCTATATATAGAAATTTTCCATGAAGCACCAGACACTCTTTAAGAATTGATGGCAAATTCGCCCAAGGCATGCAGCACTGACAAATCATACTAACGTTGCTCTTTCTGCTCCAAAGATACATTGGTATGTTTTCTTTGGAACTACAGGATCAATCTTGAACAAAGATTATCAGTTCCATTACATTTGTACTGTTTTTTGTTTATAATCACATATTGCTTACTACTTAACAACTGCTACAAATTGTATTTAACTGAGCAAGCAGTAGAGCTAATCTGTTGTTCTGACTTGTGGGAAAAAAAGGAAGTAGATGGTATAGAATGTTTGGAGAATAATGAATTAAAATATCCTAACACTTAGCCGTGCAGGGAGATAAGACCTCTCTTCCCTCCTAAATGTTTCTGCTTAACTCTTTGGCAACTGTAGTCCTACCTGTACGGAAGAGATGAATACGGCTCTCTTTGCAAGCCACTGGGTAGGAGAGGACAAAATGGAAGTTCTTTATTCTCTGCCTCTCAATTTTCGCTCCTGCATACCAGAAAGTACAGGAGGACACAGAGGACAGTTAGCTGTGCTTTTGGAGAAGGAGAACATTGTGTTTCCTGCTGCGTGGAGGAATCCAGGATACAGTAAAGAACTGATTCTTGTCACTGCAAAGCAGTGAATGGGTGCTTCATCAAAGCAGCTTGAAATGCTACAAGTATGACTAGTACAGAGTGATTGCGTTTGCCTTGGTAGAAGGTGCCAGGTTAACCATTATGATGAGGTATTGCACGTGGAGAGTTACAAGAACACTGCTGGGTGTTTACTGATATCTGAAAAGCGACCAGGATATTAGAAACCTATGAAGGATGAAATGTGAGAGAGACCTGGAAATGCCCTGAGGGACCTGCAGTATACTGCACAATACTGGAAGTCATTTCCCTCCAATAATACTGTGTTGGCTTCCAGCTATTTGATCGTATAAGAAACGATACAGCACAGCACACACAGAAACAATACAGTGTTTCAGCTGCTTCCATTCAGTCTTGTTCTGCTGCTGCCACTGTGAAGATGGAGTTCCTCATTTTCCTCTCCTACCATGTGAGAGGATGCTATTTTATTACTGAACTGTAGGTGAGAGATGGCAGAAGCATGAGGCGAGCTTATTAGCAAACCGTTGTACATGGAAAGTATTAAGAAAGGCAGATGATGAAACTGTTTACCCGTGTCCCCCAGGCGCCCACCCTTGGCATTGCCCAGGTGAAGGAACTTGTGTCAGTGCCACTTAAAAAATCAATCTCTTCTGGCTGTCCTCACATGCTAACCTATAGGGTATGATCAACAGAAACCTCGTACAACTTTCTGAGGGTATCCAATACTGGATGTATCTCTTAGGATTTTAAAACTTAGTTATGTGTAGCAGAGGGAAGCAACTAGTTTTCTCACAAGTGCTATAACAACCATTACATTTCCTTGAGTGTATCCAGTGGTTAACAAAAACAAGTGATCTAAGTGAGCAGGAGACAAACATGAAACCCAGCTGACCTTGTGCAGTTGACTTTGTTGTTTGTTTCCATTGCAAATACTGGGATTCCTTTTGTTTCTAAAATATGAGCAATCTGAGCTGCTGCTGCTTGGCAGGATGGCAGCTGAGCCCTGCTCCCTGCGATAAGAGTGCAGCCTGTGATAGCTCCTTGATTGCTGCATTATGCAGGCAGGGAATTACTGAGCAAAAGACTTTTAAAGAGGCATTACAGGGATTCTGTTCGTTGGAACGCTGTGTGATGTGAGTAAGGCAAGCTGGACACCAGTTCCCCCTAGTGAAGAAATCGGTAATAGCTTCTGCTGAAAGAGGTAACTGTAAAAAGGAACTACAAAGATAGTGAACTTTGCAGTGCTACATATGCATGTCTTTTCTTTGTGTGTGAATCGGAAGGGTTTGGAGACTGTAAAAGAAGTGGAGGTAGCACGATGAGCATCAGCTGGGTCCTTGCATTCTTCTTTTCAGTCAGCACTTTTGAATCTCTTAATGTTTCTCCCGCATGGCT